TTACTTCGTAAGAGATTTTTATATGATTTTGCAAAGATCTAAGATACTCTTGAATGTCTGTATAAATCTTAGAAATTACTCTGTAGATTATGGATGTTTAATCTGATAATCCATTCTAATTTATAAACAGTGGTCTTTATAATGAAAGGGTTAAAGTTTAACCCTGCGTTTAACTATTTGTAGTATTACACGCCAGATATTCGAGCTAACATTTCTCGCTATGGTCGAACAATCATTGCATCTGTTGCGGTGCCAAGGTACACCCTATTTCATAACGAAAGTAATAGAATTCCCGACGATTCTGTACAACGTTTATTATATTATTTGCATATAACGCATTTGCTCGAAAAGGACCGAAAGCAAATGGCGCGCAAGTGACCGAAAAACACGATATTTCCATTATACACGTTTGATTTACGGTCTAACAAACCCGATTGCACGCGAATGTTGTTAAAATCCAAAGTTGCGAGAGATCCGAAGAAATCAGATTTATGACGCGCGCATAATTATACGCGTAATTACGCGGATCTCACATCGATCTCGCGCATGAGAGAGACAGGGAGAACTCTCGATGTCATTTCGCGAGTCGAGAATTCGATGCAAACATGCAGATCACGTCGTCATTGATATCGAGATTAGGTTTTCTCTCCTCATCGATGCGATTACCGTCAACCGCGGGCTAATCTATCAACGTCAACCGCGTTATCCGTTGTTACTAACGCTGATTTAAGAGCTCGGCCAATATTACGTAGAGTAATGTAACGTAACTAGGCGCGATGGCATACGTAAAAGTGCTGGAATTAACGCGTATGAATAATGAGAGAATTTTAAATAAATATAATTTCGGTCGACTTTCTCGGAATATTTGGGGAACCCAGTAGCTTGCGGTAATTTTAACAGTGCTTTCTTTCGATGTTTCACTCTCGTTATTCATCGAGACGATCAGAAAACATTATCGACACTCTTTGGACTGTTGGAAATTCGTCATATTGCCATTCCGCGTATATATGATGTCTCATTCGAGTTTCGTGCAATTTTAAAACGTATTTATCTCTGTCGATTTCCGCCGTGGTTTATTTGTTTATCCATCTCGCGTCCGTGAATACGTGTGGCGACGATTACGTTTGTTAATATTAAAACGCGCTATTAGCATACCCGCGTTGCAAAATTGCGGTGTACGGATTGCAAAAAAAATATACCCAATGCACTCGAATTAATAATTTACCTTTCAGTTTAATTCTTCCGAAAATGCAAACATTAAACATCAGAAAATAAATGAATCGCTAAACGATACTCCGTGACACAGTATGTCTTGTGAATAAAGGTAATAGGTCACCTTATCCTTGCACTCTAAAGAGTGCTCTCGTTTCGCTGGATTCTTTTTAATATAATTAAAGTGTTTTTAAATATATATATATATAAAGTCTTTTGCTTGACTCTTTTAGTCTCTTATACAAGACGGTCTGTTGGCTCTCTTTAGAAATAATTGGACACAGTCAAGTAATCGCGTGTTGAATGGTAAATATATATTATAATGATATTATTTAATGGAAGATATTAGCAATCATTATTTCTCAATTTCAACGATATCCAATTTGAAAAATAAATTTTCTATTCCAACACTACTTTATACTTTATTAAAAAAATTAATCACATTAAACTACTGTTTATCATCACGTGTTTATTTATTCTTTGCATTTATTTGATCTCTTATTTCCATTGTAATCAGTAATGATAAAATTTTGGGAAGAAAATTACTGTGCAAATAATTACTCCGAAAAATAACACATAATAATTTTCATACAGTTATAGTTTTCCATTAATGCCGAGTTATCGCACGAAATTAAATTTTCGTTACACTTAATGATGTTTATCGTGATGCTTTTAAAGGAAAACCTGGAAAAGCGAGAAAAGAGATCATTTATTTGTAGAGTAGTAAGAGGAAGATAAATGGACGGTGTGACTCTATATATATATACTTATATATACACCCTCTTGCATAATAAATTAAAATCCTAAATACAACTCCACCGCAACGCGCGCCGTGCATTTTGTGTTTGAACTTATGTAAGCACTCAGCGCCGGCGCTGCGTTACATCAGCGTCTTGTAAGGGTAGTATCGCCGATGCCGCTTTCCATCGAAAAGCCCCGAGCAGTTTTATCCCTCCTGCTGTCGATTTACTTCCGCGGGTCGCCGCTTCGCGAGTCGCTCGCTCGTTCCTTTTTCCCCTTTTCCATCGCCTTTCTCTCTCTCTCTCTTACTTTCCTTTTTCCCCGAGACGCTGATGCTCGTTTTCGCTGAAAAATGAGCGCTTTTTGCGGCCGCGCAGTCGTTCGTCGAATTGCGAGTCGTAAATTAGCTTGCGCTCCAGACGGACGGGAGAGGAAAAAAATACGTTCCAGCACAGAAATCCATCCCGTTGGATGGATACGCGTCGAAGAGGGGTAGGAAGAAACTGTGTGCTAGCTAGAGGTGCGCTGCAGAAATCGAAAGAAATTCGACCTTTTCGCTCAAGTGAGCCGCTCGATCCTTTTTCGTTGATCTCCTGGCGCGATATCTTGCATCAATCTCCGGTCAGGTTTTACTATGTCCTCTCGATCTGCGTACGACAAGCGGTTGCATAGATGACTACAATAAGTAAAATCTTCAGGAAAGATTTTTTTTCAAAGAAAAGTATGCTTTAACTAAGGTCTGAAGATTTATCAGTGATACGACGCTATTTTTATAATATGGATTATGCTTTAAATTGAAAAATAATAGAAAATTTAAAACATTCAATTTTTTTAAATATATATCATATTTATACGTTACGTGAATTAAATAAATGAAAAGAAAAGTATTATTAACTAAGGTCTGAAGATTTATCAGTGATACGATATTTTTATAATATGGATTATGCTTTAAATTGAAAAATAATAGAAAATTTAAAACATTCAATTTTTAAATATATATCTATACGTTACGTGAATTAATAAATGAAAAGAAATGTATTATTAACTAAGGTCTGAAGAATCATATGACAGATTGTTTAAATTCAAATAGTATGTATATCATATTTATACGTTACGTGAATTACATAAATGAAAAGAGATAAATTTATCATTAGCTAAGTTATTCTTAGATTGATTGTTTGATGTTACATTTTTTTACAACGAATCAGTCGAGTACAAAAAATAAAATTTTGATAAAGTATTAATTCTTAAAATATCATTTAGCTCGATTAATAGCAATTTCCGCTAAAATTATCTTTTATTTTATTAAACTTAAGCTTAATGAAAAAAACTCATCGTGGTATAACTAATTGTCCCTGCAGTGAGAAGAAAAACACTGCGCGATCGCAACTAATATTATTAAGTACTTAAATTTAATGTTTCCTAAGTATCTCACGCTTCTAAACGTACGTTACGATAATGAATTTTCATGATAGCCTGCTTGCGCAAATTAATAATGACATCCGTTGCATTAATAATTACTTGAACATTGTGCCCGAATATGACATTTACGTTACGTTCTTTCTCTCTCGAAGAACTCTCGTAGTTCGACGGGAACTTGGAGCCACCAGTAAGTGATTACCGGTACAGCACCTGAGGGTTCTCGCATAAGGTTCTCCAAGGATCCGCTGTTATTGCTTCTCCCTCTCCTTCTCGTCTCGGCGAGTTCAGTTCACGGAAGTTAGTTCTAACGCGTCGGATATACGCGCGACTCACGCTTGCGCCTTGCATCGTTACGCCGAATGCGCTCGTATCAATGCAACTTGGTTACTGCAAACTCTTGCGAGACGCGACACGGAAGCGCCGCTGGCGTCAACATTTAGACTGAATCGCAGTTTCTCAGGAATCTCGCTGTTTCTTGCGAAACCATCCGGGGGACAAACAGCAACGCTATTGCAATATCTAACGTAAATGTCCGCTTGAATATTTGATTTATCCGAAATCGATACGCGGCGGGACGAAGATTTCGACTTTGCCCCGGGCGATTTGGTCCTTCGAAGTCTGAGAAACGGATATTTTGATTCTTATTAGGTAGAATTTTTGAGCTACGAATTTGCTAAATTTTAGGTGTCTCCGTATTACGTCTGAAATTTTGTTACATGTCTAAATTTTAGCTGAATGAAGAGTTTCTCCGTTAAACTATAATTAAAAATATTAATTACCACAGCTAAAATTAGGGCACGATAATTAAATTTCGGGCATAATAAAGAAATAAAGTTTAGCTATATGATAGCTATTTTTTCTATGTATTATTATTACTTATATTTTACGTTGTATGCTTAAAATATAATTTCGTCTGCTGACCTATTTCACGAACGATGAATTTACTTTGAGATTGATATAATAATTCGAGACATTGATGTACATGTTTAGGTTGATCAACAATTAACTACATGTGTATATCCTTTCGTTTATTATAATTGTAACACAATTTGTAAAACAAATATACAGATACACAAAATTTCATGCATATATGTTTCTATCATTGTGATATTCTCAAATATTTACGCATTTGTAATAGAAAATAATTAATGTATACAAGCTAATGTACTGTTAATTTCGTACAATTGCAGTTAATTATTCATGATTATTCTAATAAACGTTAGTATACGGCTTTGATTATTATATGCAAACGGAAATTTATTCTAATATAATATTCTCGATAATGATATATGAATATACTACGCAACCATACAAACTACGGTTAAATCAATCTATTAGTAAATTTAAATTGCTATGTTATTTTCGTCTTTTTTCTTTATTCGCCATTTTAATCGTCAAAAATATTGAACGACAAAATTTCTAATTCGCGAAAGAATCCGTGATTAAAATGAAGAGGTCGGAGGTCTCTTGGATCACGCTGTGTACATTCTTCTCATGCACACACATCCAAGTTTCTCGAGAAGCTCGCTCGCTCGCGATGTAAATTTTCCATTCGCCGCATCCCCCTACCGTCTCCGCCTAGTCTGCAAAATAATTTATGTGCATGTGGCTTTCTTGGGTTTCAGGGGAGCATCCGGCGGCCATGCAGCACGGCAACTCCAGCAACAGCGGCGCGGCCACGAGGACGCTCGCGTTACTCCTGTTGCTCCTGCACGCCGGCTCCTTCGCGAGGTGACTGGTCGATCACGAGGCGCTGCAGTAAAGAGAGTACGGGCCGATAGTTTCACCCAGGCGAGATTGAGGGAACGAGGATGGGGTGCGAGAGGTTGGTGAGACCAGAAGAGAAAGAGAGGGACGCACCACCTGCTGGACTCTATATAAATCAGCTCGATCTTCTTTCCGTATATTGCGATCGCCTTCCCCGGGATAGTAAAGTGCGCGAAGGGTGGCGAACGCGAGAGAGAAGACGATGACGACGGTAAAAACTGACCGTGCGTGAATAGTTTCGTCAACTTTACTCTCGCTTCCGAAGTGCACGGAGTCCAGCCGGTCCTGTCCGCGGTGTTTCCTTAAAGCAATCTTCGTGTTCCCGTGCAATCGCGGGACTTTAAGTATATATACATACTTATATACCTACGCTCTGCAACTCGATCGTACTCGTCGAACTTTCTATCGCGATTCCGCGGAGATTATCGGAAACGACAGCTCGTGTAAACTCGACGACGAAGGCGAATTCGTGAAGATGCGAACGATCGAACTCGTAGAGTAGTATAGCGAGTGTTCGAAGGACCAACGAACCGAATGATGCGTTTCGACGAGGACGAAATGATTTCACTCACGTCGACACTCGCGCGAAGACGACGACGAGATTAGCATTTCTTTCCCACTGCGCGTTACATTATATATATGAGGATCCATCGGCGAACAGCTGACTACTGTCGCAGGATTCGCAGTAGTAAGAGTCAACGTGTTTTCGTCCGCCCGGTCGGACCGACCCAGATACGCGCTCGGCAAAACCACCGCGGGGAATTCCACTCAATTTCTGGTTGCCGGATGCGGTATCGCTTCTTCCACGAGGAGAACAAATATTTTGAGGTTCGTCGGACTTGTCCGTGCTCGCGAAAACTTCCGGGGATGTACATATATACACGCTCCGTCATACGAATGTCTCGTAAAACGCCGGATGCGCACTCTGACATGCTGAAACTTTGCGTCGACGGGTCTCGGATGCAATTTCTTCGCAATCGTTTACGGATCATCTTTTGTGTATGTTACAATCTCTATCAAAATATAGACAAACTATTTTTTTTTTTTTGTTGTTGGAACATTAAAACGCTTCATCTGTATTTTAATTTTGATAAATTGTTAAATCGTTTTATACTTTTACAGTTGATTGTTGGTCTATTATTATTTAGGAAAAAAAATAAATTACGCAGAATAAAAAATACATATTATAAATCTATCGAGCGATAAATATAAACTTATCACTCTTGCAACGTTTTTCTCAGATTTAGCACTTTTTCAGTTGATCTCGCAATGTTCGAGTTTTATCGAATAAATATTACCCTCAAATCGTTTCCGCGGTTTATTACGGACTAGCGAGCGGAATCGGCTACTACGACAATAATCGGTTTTCGTCCTTCGCGCGAAACGAAAAAAGCCACTGAAGTATCTCTGAATTATGCGGTCCGGACCGCGCGAAATTCGTAGCTTGGCAAGGCCGAACGCCTGCAGTTTCGCCCGGCGTTCCATTTGCATCTCAGAACGCGGAATTTACGAGCCCGGGGGTCGTCGATCCACGGCTGCGGCCACGGGACCGTCCGCACGTATCCGTGTGCGCGTTATGATAGACCCGATAAGTTATATAACTAAGCTCTCGACATACCGTCGTTCGCGAGAGGGAAATATCGGTCTGGTCGATACAGGGCGCGCTGATATATAGCTGCGGTCTCGATTATGCTAAGACAGCACGTTTCCGAGCCCGCGCGTTTAATTATAGATATTAGTTTCACGCGTCATTATTTTCCCTCGTAATTGAATCAAAACTGCTCAATTTTCATCCTTTTGATTTTATTCTTACACACCTTCTTATATATATATATATATATATATATATATATATATATATATATTTCTTTCCTATTTATATAGGTCATTTATCTCATCTGTGTGTATATATATAATATAATATACACACATATATCAATATTATATCTCAAATTAATTACATTCCATCCAAGATGATCGAGATTGTATCACGTCGTTTGGTCAGACGTGCGGTTCAAGTTAAACGCAATCAGCTGACGCGCTTGGAATGCTCTTCGAATAAAGTTTCCTCTAATCAATATTCAGTTACGGCATCCGAAAAGCCGTCGTCCTAAGAAATATATCGGCGAAAGTGATGGAAAATTTCCTTGGAAAATAAGTGATGTGATGTCGTGATTAATTCGGCGTACGCGCTAATTAATCGGCAAGATTTCTCGTTGACTTCAATACACTGAAAAGCTCTTGGATTCGCAACTTTGATTAAATGTATCCTATATTCGAAGCTTCTTATATATATATATATATATATATATATATATATATATGTCTTGATCCGTTCTATTATTGCGTCGAGATTTTCCATCACCGCAAATCTCAATTTCATTGAAATTACCGCATATCCGTGTGAGTGCGCATCGTTTTTAATTAATCACATGAAGATCTCGCGTCACGGGCGTGGAGTTTGCACGTCGATCATAGGTGCTAAGCGGACAGGTTGACGTAAAAGGGTGGCTATGGCTACGAAAGCGAGAATAGGATTTCCGATTTCCGGCAGAGAGAGACAATGCGCGTAGACACTCGGATTCGCGCTCGTTAAGATAATGTTAAGCTTTAAGTGATTAACAAAAGTCGTATCGTACTGGTCTATCCGTGTATACGTCTCCATAGATCTCCAATCGCAGTGGGTCGATCGTAGCGTATAGAGAATCCGAGACGTGTTTGCGTTCTAATAATACGTAAGGGTATAGGATGACATCATTCCGAATAATAAATTACTGCATACTATTTTCTCAAAATCATATGACATCGCTCGGTAAAGGTTTATAGTGCGCGGAAAGACTATCGATGTTCGGAAAATCGAGAAGAGGGAAATTGTTTATGGTTTATCGGGACTTCTTTTTTGGTGAGCGAGTAGAGAGAAAATTATACAAATAGTGCAAACATATCGCAATGCATTCATTTTGTACGTATTGGATTTACTGGAAAAGTATCAAATATCTCTGGTAAAAATAAATACATATATGCAACTGCTGACTTTATTTTTTTTTATTCTACGTATAAAATAGATTTTTATTTATATTGCGTTAATAAATTCAAATAATTTGAGTTAATTTTAAGTTGAGAATGACAGAAATTATGATCGACTATGATAAAATTTGTAATTTTAATGCATCAAATTGTGACAAGTGAACTTATTGACAAGTGAGCTTATTTGTAAACTCTCTCTTCTAAATTGAAGTAGTTTGTTATAAATCTTCTTCTAAAATAAAGATAAAAATACCTTCCAAAAATACATTTTACAGACAGTTATCTAGAAAATTTGACAACAAATTGAAAGCAATTTTCAAATTTTATTACATTTTAATATAGATTTATTTTGGTTATCTTTTATCCATACATTTTGAAATTTAAATTATCTCATTGTTTTTTTTATATTCCAGCTACCAAGTCACATTGACAATATAAACATTTTGTAGATAATGTAACAATAAATATAAAAGAAAATTTTCTCGACGATCTCTGTTTGCTCTATTTTTCTATCGGGCAGCAACGGTTTTCGTGCCGAATGTCGTTTTTAGAACTTGATACACGTCAGATATGCATTATCAGCAGCGCGATCGACCCACGAATAGCCGTACTGTACATACCTTTTTGAATGTAACGATAAACGATCGCTGTAACTCTATTCGACTAAGAACCACGATGCAATTCTTACTAATTCACACTCTTAGATCAATCGAGTGCTTCGTCAGCTAAAACGCAGTCGTTACACGAAACTTTTGTCATCCATCAACTATAATCGCGGATAGTCTCGCGATGATCATGGTCTGCCAAAAGAAATTTTGGACGCGCCTTTGTACAAGTGAGTTTTCCCACCAAAACAAGATGATAAATTAATTAAAATCTCGGGAAAACGGAAAGGTATAAAATATCAATTGTTAAATTAAATTTATACTAATTGTTTTTAGACAATTATGTTAGATAAATTGATTGGTCGACACAAGTCGAGATCGATAAAAAATCACTTAATTTTTGTGCAAATCGATCATTGGATCAAAGATTAGAAAGCGATTTTCGAGAAAAGTGATTCACGCAAATGCAGCGCACAGCCTTGTAAATAAAAAAGATCGTTTTCGATCGTGTTATCGATTTATAGTTTGTTCGCGTGAATCAGAAGTGCGTAAGAAGTCTGCGAAATCTGTCGTTTAAATCTTTCCAAGTCTTTCAAAACACGCCAATATTTTTATTCACATTTTCTCCTTATTTAAAGGGCCAAAAAGTACAAAGCATTATATTTTAAAATTTAATTCTTCCAAAGAATAATTTTACAATACCTTTTGACTAAAGTACAGTAAAAAAAAACCTGGAGTAATCTCTTTGACTTTTGCTGGACTCGACAGATTGCGATGAAATTTTACGCACCTCTGAAGACGATCAGGAGATCTCCGTTTTGACGAATGAGATGAGAAGGCGCGACGTGGTTGTATGTTCCTGGAGAAAGAGTTCCCGACGAAACGATCGTCGCCAATCACGAGAACGAGCTCTGCAAAATCACCACTATCACGCACATACATACATACATACATACATACATACATACATACATACATACACACACACACACACACACATCCTGTCTCCCTCTTTCCACGCTCCTTCTATCCTGCCACACTATTCCCCCGTGCTTTTTTTATACGCCAAACGAGATCTGTTCTCGTTAGTATTTGTAAATGGCTTTCGCGTACGCGCGGGTGCCGCTGATCCTGCTTCTGTATATTCCGAAAAAAATATAAAAGCGATACAGACTCGGACGCGGGCGGCGATTAATTGACTCGCGTCCGAGTCGCGAATGAACGTGAAGGACTGGTAGCGAGTAAGTTTAACCCGATTGTACGAGATCAATTACTTGTTAGCACACGAGCGATCAGCGTACGCTCTTAGCGACACTACTCGAACGATGTTAAACTAACGAACATACCGTTAATGTATATATATATAAACGAGCAGTACCGACTTATCGTTTATGTTGGATCCAATTGTACCAGAATTCCTAAAGGCAATTAAAAGAGAAGAAATAACGATTATTTGTGGGAGACATACGGAGATTCTCATTCCGCGAACCCCCGGCTGACTGCGACCGTGTCGATTTTTTTTCCCCGCCATTTAAAACCGTACGCGAGAAATTGGATCATTTATTTGCATAACGTTCCGTCCTCGACTTCCATCGTATTTTTAATTAAACGATCAGATTTTTGGTCGAATTCATTTTATAGGTTTAACTCCGCTCTGTCTGTGTGTACGAAATGCGGACTGATATGTTGCCATATCATGAAAAGCTTCTTTATTGCACACAAATTAAAAATGCGAATTTTATTTATTTATTTCACATGTCGACGTTTGCTTTTTTTATATTTAATTACTTATATTTCGCTGATATTGTTTTCCAGTATTATTTATTATTTTCTATAGAGTATTTCCAATAATTATATAATTTATTGTTTTCGAGTAACGACGAACACATTGATCCATTCGTCTTACTACAACTTATTTACTACTACGAAATATCGAAAGTATCTTCAATTCTACCTGCTCTCATCTTAGATATTTCTCCCCATTTCCCAAGTTTGTCGGAAATTTCGTAACAGCAATTTAAGAAGCCTCCGACGGCGAAGAACCCATATCTTGACCGCTGCGCTGACCGAGTTCGTGCATTATAGGTAAGTATCCTCTCCGTCCTTTGTCTATGAATGTGTATACTCTCAACATGATATACGGGGGTCATTTGCATCCCGTGAGCCGGTCTCGTATACAGCCGTTGTCGATAAACAGCGCCCAGGATAGCTGCATAAACGCGGCTCGCTGTGCGCGCCTC